AATGTAAGTATTAAAAAGGACTGAGAGGCAGATATCATATCTCCTTTTCTTACATACTCCCTTTCCAACCATGCCCTACCTAATCTCTCTACTTACTCTACCCTCTGGCAGGACACAGGCTTGCGTCCGTATAACCTGTAGTTTCCTTGCTCTTCCCAGAGAGACAATTGCAGATGATTACTACGGAGTCAGCCAGGAAGAGGAAGAGGGGCAAGGTTTTTGAGTCTAGGGAGGGGGAGTCCTTTTAAGAACAGCAACAGACCAGGCACGGTGGCTCACGCCTGTAATCCCAGCAGTGGACCACCTGAGGTTAGGAGTTCGAGACCAGCCTGGCCAACATGGTGAAACCCCATCTCCAGTAAAAATACAAAAATTAGCTGGGTGTGATGGTGCGTGCCTGTAACCCCAGCTACTTGGGAGGCAGAGGCACAAGAATTGCTTGAACCCAGAGGCAGAAGATGCAGCGAGCTGAGATGGCGCCACTGCACTCCAGCTTGGGTGACAGAACAAGACTCTGTTTCAAAACAAAAACAAAACAGCACCAGCAGCGTCCCTACTCTTCCAAGTCAAAGTGCCGTCTGCTTCTGCTTCTGCCATCTGTGCTCAGTGGAGGATGGCTTGGGTTGCACTGTCAAGGCTAGAGAAGGGCTCAGGGTGTCATCAGCATAAGGGTTGCAGTGCAGAGGGCCCTGGAGATAACTCTAGGAGGCGATCTCTAAGGGGATATCCTTAGATGGGGTTCCCCATTCTTGGGGGCTTTTGTTCACTGAAAGGGGAGTTCCCTTGCCCCTCCTCCCTTTTAGGTTCCCCGAAAGCCCACCGATGCTCCCTGTCAACTACATTTGGCTTACACAGAATGCTGCCCTTTGAGCAGTCTCCAACTCTCTCGATCATCAATGAGCAAACCAGCGGGGGAGCTGAGTCACAGGCACATGATGTGGGGCTGGAAAGCGAAGGGGCCATACTTATATGGGCGACCACGTAAACGTCCAGACCCCTGTACCTTTCCTCTGTCCCTGGGGCTAGTCCTTCAGGGCTTTCCGCACTCCTTCCTTGTCTTGAGGGACTCTGTATTTCTGTGTTGGAGGAAGGGTGTTTCCCTCTGCATACACACATATCAGAGGGACTGATGCTTTATGTGTCTTTTATATGGGTGTCTAATGCGTCCCTGGGTGTGGTGGTGTGAGGAATTAGAAAGCACAGAAATGGAAAATACTTAACGTTCAGAGTAGCAGATGAACACAGCTCTCACATTTGCATTTTCCCTTTCGTTCTGACTCATCTTCCCCTCTCCCCACTCTGTTGCCCCTCCACCAGCCTCACCCATTGACACACCCTGTCTGATCTAGGAAGGGTTAACATGTGCCCGCACCCATGTGGAGGGAAGGTGTGGTGGGTCTGGAGAGAGAGAGTGGGAGGCTAGTCAGAACATTTGGGGGTCCTGGAGCCAAAGAGAGAAATGGGAGCTTAGAGACATGATATTTGGGTCTGGGAGGGGACGAGGACTCTTAGATCCTTCTCCCTTAAGAGAAGCCTATGGGATGCCTGGCGCAATCCCAGCACTTTGAGAGGCTGAGGTGGGTGGATCACCTGACATCAGGAATTTGAGACCAGCCCGGCTAACATGGCGAAACCCTGTCTCTACTAAAAATATAAAAATTAGCTGGGCGTGGTGGCGGGCCCCTGTAATCCCAGCTACTGGGGAGGCTGAGGCAGGAGAATTGCTTGAACCTGGGAGGCAGAGGTTGCAGTGAGCTGAGATTGCGCCACTGCACTCCAGTCTGGGAGACAGAGCCAGGCTCTGTCTCAAAAAAAAAAAGAAAAGAGAAGCCTATGGGGAAGCAGACCGTGCCTTGTCACCAGAGCAGCTTACCAGTACCTGACTACCTGACTTGTTTATCTCCCAATAATTTACTGTGTGTATATGATACACCAGGCACATATCATAAATGCTTTATTAGCTGGGTGCGGTGGCTTATGCCTATAATCTCAGCACTTTGGGAAGCCAAGGCCGGAGGATCATTTGAGCCAAGAGTTCAAGACCAGCCTGGGTAACATAGTGAGACCCCCATCTCTACCAAAAATTAAAAATTAGCTAGGCTCGAACCTGTAGTCCCAGCTACTTAGGAGGCTGAGGTGGGAGGATCACATGAGCCCAGGAAGCTAAGGCTGCAGTGAGCCGTGATCATACCACTGGGCAACAGAGCAAGACCCCGTCTCAAAATAAATATGTCATCAATATTTATTGGATAAATGAAAATTTTGCTATAGGATCAGGGATAATAGAATAATAAGAAACAGAAAAAGAAACTTGAGCCTTTCAGACTTCATCCCTTCCCCAGATTTAAGAGTTCTAAAGTGTGAAAAGAGGGGAAACCTCCGGGGACCTTGACCCCTTGGGCAGGAAGTGAAAGAAACCCAAGTCCTGATTTCAGAGAAATGTCATTTGTCATCAGCCCAAGAAAAGGAGGTTTTTCTCTTCGAAGACCACCACAGGTCCTTCCTGGGGTTGCCCCTTTCAGAGCTTGATGGGAGGATCTGAGTCACTCACACATCCAGCCCCCAGGTCATTCCCAGCCAGCAAATGAGGTTTCCCAGTACCAAGTCAGGGAGAGGGAGGAAGTTGGCTTCTGGCTCCTCCAGTCTATTCTTGGGATCCAAATGTTTCAGTCCTTTTTACTTCCGCAGCTGTAAGCTCTGCCGTCATCTCTAAGAAACGACCATACCACTGAATGCTACTGTGTACTTACAAACCACGCTCATATTCGTCACGTCATTTCATCTTCACCCCCACCTCCAAATGAGGTAAGCAGATATTATCCCTATTTCATGAATGAGGTTACTGAGGCCCAGAGAAGTGACTTGCCCAAGATGACTCAACTAGTAAATGGCAGAGATGAAACTCAGAGGCAGGGTTGATTATTCCAAGGTCCTTGCTGTCACGGATACACTGCTTTGACTCTAGGAGTTCACACACAAAGTGAGGAGACAGGAGGCTAGGGGCAGAACGTGTGTGTTCTGGAGGTACAGGGGTGGTCTCTCCTGCAGGCAGAAGGCAGAAGGCAGAGGCAGGGTTAGAAAACCACACCCTCTCGGGGGGACTGTGGAAGACTGATACTTGGGACATCCAATGGAGGCCTGTGAGGTCAGGGGCGGGGCTAGCTCCAGGGGGGGCCCCAGGAGCCCCAACAGTAGTTCAGAGCATGCGGTGTCCTGGAAGAAGCTACAAGCGGTGAGTGATGGCCTCTCCCCAGCTGAGGCCTTCTTCCCATCACAACTCTTTCTGTCCCCTCCCTGCCAACCTGGAGCCCTCTCCCTGAGGTGTCCAAGTGTGGCCCTCCCCACCCCAAGGGCCCTTGCTCACAGGGAGCCTGCACCTAGGACTCTGCCTGCTGGGTGCTAAGACACTGAGGTTCTGGTTCTCTTCGTATCTGGGTTCCCAGCTCTCTTTTTAAAAGCCAGTGTGGTGGTTTTGATGTGTGAGAAACTCCTGCCTGGTTGGGTGCTTTCTATTCTTCACTTTTTGCCTTATGAAAAACAAATTAAACCATCTCCTTACCCGAATCTTGAGAGGAAATAGCCTCCCTGTCTCCAGTCCCCATGTCCCTTCCTCCCATCTCCTCAGGGGTCCATTCTCCAAAACCTCTATCAATGGGTCAGGAGCCTCCACTCCTGTGGCTTCTGCACCTGCTCTCCTCATTCTCTGGATGGGAATGTCTGGTTCCTTCCCTGAGGACATGTTCTAGAAGCTTCAGCTTCACGGTGATGACTGCCGGATGCCTTAGCGTCTGCGTTCCTGCAGCCAGGATCCCTATCATGCTGCCCTCTCTGCCTTTCAGGCACAATGGGCTTTTGGGGGAGGACCCACTAGCTTTCTAAGCTCTCCTGTGAAGTTGTGTCATGCTCCATCCCTTAGTGCCAGGGTTGACTGGGTTTTGTGGTGATCCTCGTCTGTACTGAAGAAAGCCTGGCTTGCGCAGAGGTGTTTCCCTGCACAGGGGCTTGGAGAAGCAGAAGTGGCAGTATCTGATATCTTTTACGTCAGAGGCTGCTAACTGGAAGACTTCCCACATGCCTGTCTTAAAACCCACTTCTAGCTATTTCTGTTAACTGGCCCTTGCTCTTTAAGTCCTGAATTTGGTCTGATTTCCATTCTCTCGCCACCATGCCTACCTGCTATGATTCTGGATAAGCTCCAATCCTCTCTTGGGTTACTTTATTTGCTCACTCAGGACGGAGGGCTCTGATCTAGGACCAGCAACTCACACTCTCTCCCCTCACATCCACAGGCTTGAAATGAGATGAGATGTTCCTCCCTCCCCTTTCAACCATGGACCTCACACTGTGGCCTTTCTCTTAGAGCCTCTGAGATTGGTACCCAAGCAAGGCACAATGTCCCTGCTCCCCATAAGACTGCCCAGCCCCTATGGCTCTGATCGGCTGGTACAGCTAGCAGCCAGGCTCCGGCCAGCACTATGTGATACTCTGATCACCGTAGGGAGCCAGCAGTTCCCCGCCCACAGCCTGGTGCTAGCAGGTGTCAGCCAGCAGCTGGGCCGCAGGGGCCAGTGGGCTCTGGGAGAAGGCATCAGCCCTTCTACCTTTGCCCAGCTCCTGCACTTTGTGTATGGGGAGACTGTAGAGCTGCAGCCTGGGGAGCTAAGGCCCCTTGAGGAGGCGGCCAGGGCCTTGGGAGTGCAGTCCCTGGAAGAGGCATGCTGGAGGGCTCGAGCGGAGAGGGCTAAAGAGCCAGATGCAGTCCTGAAGAAACATCAGGAGGAGCCAGAGAAACCCTCAAGGAATCCTGAGAGAGAACTGGGGGACCCTGGAGAGAAGCAGAAACCAGAGCAGGTTTCTAGAACTGGTGGGAGAGAACAGGAGATGTTGCACAAGCACTCGCCACCAAGAGGCAGCCCCGAGATGGCAGGAGCAACACAGGAGGCTCAGCGGGAACAGACCAGGTCAAAGGAGAAACGCCTCCAAGACCCTGTTGGCCAAAGGGGAGCAGATGGGAAGAATGGAGCGCTCATGTGGTTGAGGGAGAATCCGGGGGGCTCTGAGGAAAGTCTGCGCGAGCTCCCTGGCTCCCTTCCCCCAGCAGGCTCCCTGCAAACCAGCGTCACCCCCAGGCCCTTGTGGGCTGATGCCCCTTGGTTGGTGGGGGGCCAGCCTGCCCTGTGGAGCATCCTGCTGATGCCGCCCGGATATGGTATTCCCTTCTACCATAGCACTCCCACCACTGGAGCCTGGCAGGAGGTCTGGCGGGACCACAGGTGAGTGGAGGGGCCTAGTTCCCGGCCTCCAGGCTGGGAGGGTGTGGCCCAGGAGGGGCAGCCCTGCTGGGTGGAAAGGCACCGCATCTCTACTGCACAGTTCCTGAGCTGGGGATGAGACAAGAAGCTGCCGCCACAGGGCATGCCAAAGCCCAGCCCCGGGGAGAGGACTTGGGACGCCCCCTCTTCAGGAAGAGGGCAGGCTCTCAGGTTTAGTCAAGGCTGTAACTCTTCCCCACCCTATCCCAGGATCCCACTGTCCCTTAATGCCCCCAAAGGGCTCTGGAGTCAGAACCAGTTGGCCTCCTCCAGCCCCACCCCAGGTAAGCCCCTCGATGCCCTGCATACACCTGTAACACGGTGCCTTCTCTGGGGTGGGGCTCCAGGAGTCCAGCCCGAGCAGGGCCCCTACCTCCCACTGTTCTCTCCAGGTTCCCTCCCCAAGGGCCCCGCACAGCTCAGCCCTGGGGAGATGGAAGAGTCTCATCAGGGGCACACAGGTGAGTCGGGCCGGGGCACTCGTGCCTCAGCCCCACTGTAGCCCTTGATTTCCTGCCTGAATGGTACAGTGAGTTGACGCTGGGATTCCTGGCCCTGCCCTCCTTTGCCTTCTCTGTCCCCACAGGTGCACTTGCAACCTGTGCGGGTCATGAGGACAAGGCAGGCTGCCCACCTCGCGCGCACCCTCCCCCGGCCCCTCCTGCTCGGTCTCGGCCCTATGCGTGCTCTGTCTGTGGAAAGAGGTTTTCACTCAAGCATCAGATGGAGACGCACTACCGAGTCCACACAGGTATGGGCTCCCCGCCCTGTGTGAACTGTCGGCTTTCTTCCCAACTCCGCTCCTGAGTCTCCACCTGCGTCTCCACCTGCGTGTCCGGTTCCCGCGCAATCCCCTCACCCCGTGGCCCGATCCACCCCTAACTTGGCCAGCTTTCGCCCGCTTCCTTCCTTCACCCGCCTCCCCTTCCGACCGCTCTAGGAGAGAAGCCCTTCTCCTGTAGCCTTTGTCCTCAGCGCTCCCGGGACTTCTCGGCCATGACCAAGCATCTGCGGACTCACGGGGCCGCTCCGTACCGCTGCCCCCTGTGCGGGGCCGGCTGTCCCAGCGTGGCCTCCATGCAGGCGCACATGCGCGGTCACTCGCCCAGCCAACTCCCGCCAGGATGGACCATCCGCTCCACCTTCCTCTACTCCTCCTCGAGGCCGTCTCGGCCCTCGACCTCTCCCTGTTGTCCTTCTTCCTCCACCACCTGACGGGGTGTCGGTAGCGTCTTAGTCAAGAGTCCAATTAAAGAACGAAAAGCGGGCCGGCTCGGCTTCTGACCTGGCACCGCTGCTACGGCGGCCTAGCAAATTCTGCCCCAGAAAGGGCACCGAGTGCCCTCTCCTGGACGATCGCGGGTCGCAGAAGCCCAGGCCAGCGAGCCCTACTGGGTGAGGACACTGAAGTGTGCAGAAGCGAAGGTTAACAGTAGTGGGGGGGGATTGTCGATCTCATCACCATAATAAAGAGTTTCCTGTGCTCTCCCTTCAGGACTAGAAAGCCAAGTTTAGTCTGTGCACACCCCCGCCCACGCCCCTTGTCCTGTAGCGGCCCCTGGTGGTCCTGCGTCCGCCGTCCAGCGGGGTGGACACTTCCTCCACCCCTGAGGCTCCCAGTCCTCCCCAGGAGGCAGCCGGCCGCGAGGGCTCGGTGTCCGGGCACACCTCGCGGCATGCCGGTCCTAGGCTGGTGGGGGCTGTGCGACCGCAAGTCACTCGCCCCTTCCACTACAATCCACGGCGCGCGGAGTCTGATCTGGGAGCGCTCGGCCCGAGCGAGAGAGGAACGTGTGCTCCGACCCTGCTTTCGGCCACCCGCCTCCTCTCCGGGAGCACACAGACCCCGAGACCGCGGCCTCTCCGGCGTCTTCCCTCCAGGCCGTGCCGAACCGCCGCCGGATCGCGCCCGGAACGGAGACTGAGTATGCCTTCCACCGCTCCTTCTCCAGCCCACGCCTCCTGCAGCCGCGAACTGCATTTCCCAGGGCCTCGGGGGGTCCCGGGGCCCGAGCCCGCGGCACCCTGGGAGTGGTAGTCCACGCGGGCCGCCGGCCTCGCCAAGAACAATGGGAGGAGCCTGGGGCTAGGACCACACCTCCCGGAGACCCGGCAATCCGCTTTCCGGGTCCTGGCCGGGAACCCAGCAGTCCCAGCCCTCGCGCCTTGGCTGCCGGCGGAAGAAGCGAGGCGTCCAGACTACATTTCCCGGAGGCCCCCGCGGCTCGCCCCT